CTTAATGGAAAACCTTAACTATGAGTATCACTGGTACTCCACCTTTAATAACTTTAATGACTTGTATGTCATAATGAAGAGTGGCATGTGCTGAACAAACATCTCCATAACCTCATTCATTAAGAGACGAATCTTTCAGTCTCTAGTATTATGTCTTAAAGTCAAGTAAACAGTACATTTTGGTGCAAACAGGCTGAGTTATGGAATTACTTACACTGTATGAACATCACTTTGTGGGTGTGTACGTGTGACACAAAGGAGCAGACAGATGATGAAGTTGACAGCATTGCTGACCAGCCGGACTAGAGCCTGAAGACCATTTTGACCGCTCCATAGGGGAGTGCTGTATAAACACTGAACAAACGGGCACCAAATCTAGGAATTTGTAATTGGGAAGGGGTAAGAGATCCCTTCAGAAGGAAACAAGCAATAAGTCTCAGAGAGAGTATATAAACCACTTTCTCTGCCTTAGGGAAGCAAAAATCCCAATGTGGAGCTAGCAGAGGGAGGAAAATAGAAACAAGTGGGAATATTTAGAGTGAGGTTTCTCTTTCAGTTCTCTTGTGCTCTATTTTTGTTCCTCGTATTGTGCTCAAGAACCAGCAGTTACCGGGAGACCGGAGCACATAGGTACAGCTGATTTGCCAACACTTCACTCTGTTATAGAGCTGCTTTTGTTGGCAGCCCAGGTTTGGCTGAACATTGCTGTCCTCGAGGACCCCACTCCTCTGTAGCTTGCTTTTCTAATTTTCTTTGGTTTGTTTTGAGTTTTTACCTTTTTCTATGGACATTGGAAAAAGTGCTAAGTATCCGGAATAGGGCAAATCCTGCTCTGTTTTTACTAGCCATTCCCTTTGAAATGGGTGGCCAACCGAGATGTGGTGAACTTGTCCGTTCTGACCCAGATATTTCTGGTGTTATTTAACAACAGTGAAAAAGTTCCTGTCTGAAGAGGTGATTGTTACTAAGCTTTGTAATTGCCACTGTGATGCTGAACATTTTTCTGAATCATTGTTTCACGTTTGATAGTGTAGGTGTTGTGTTTGACAGATCTATTAGCGTGTGCTGTGACGCTTCACTGAGAGAAGGCGGACACGAGTCAATGCACTTATCTGGAAGAGGATTTGGTTTGCTGCTTGTCTTCGGTGGACTATCAAAGCCATCCCAGTTCAACGTACAAACTCTCGGAGCTTGGAGCCTCCTATGGTGGACTCTGGCAGAGCAGTCTGTGGAGGTAGCTCTTCGGTGCTGATATGCGCCAAGGGGTTGGTGTTAGTCATGTCATCTGCCAAGCTCAGCGTCACAGAGCAGAAAGTGGCTTCTCAGCTTTGTGATGCGGTGACTCTAATGTGGGGCCAGTTCTCAGCTGGTGGTGTACCTCCAGGCAGTGGATGAAGTTCACATGTTTGAAAGGCTTGTTCTCAAACTCACTCAGGGAAGAACTAAGTCCTCAGAACCTCCCATGGTTCTTTCACGAGCTTAAAAATTCATAAATAAAATAACCACATCTAACTAAAACCAGGCAGCAGAATGGCACTGCCCTATTTCTCCAGCTTGGTGAGAAAAAAAAAAAATCATCAAGTTGGTGTTTTACTTAGGGTAATTGGAAGACTGAAATCCAGATTAAATATAAACTCTGGTTTATTACAAGTGCCCTGCAGCACCTCTTACCTAATGAGCAGAACAAGCTTCTGCTTTTTCCAAGTGCTGCCATAAACCACATTATTTCATTAGGTAAAAACTTTGGCCGAGGTCTCCATAATGTGTGTATCCCAAGCTAAAAGCTAAAACACTGATGAGTTTTTTGAGTCCTTGTTATGTTGGAAGGTGAAGCCACAGATTTAAATAGTTAACTGTGGATGTGGATTTATACCTTCAACTTTCAAAAGACTGGCCTTTGACAGCTTACGTGGCAGCACCTGTGTGCTTTAGGCTGAGGGCTCAGTGATCTTGCGGCAGGGAATTAAAATGGGTGGCTTGAAGCTGGTACTGGTGAAAACCTTCTGAAGGATGCTGCTGGCCAAGTCAGGGACGTTTGATCTGCTTCTGAGCCAGTGTGTGAACGGGCATGGGTTCCAGCCCACTATTTTATGGCAAATAAAACTGGGGTGGTTGTATTTGTGCCCAGCTGCCCCACATAAGTCTCGTCAGTGCTAACTTCGGCCATCCAATTTTAATTTGCTGTCGCATGTCTGCCAGAGCATTGCAGGAGGGTGGGAGGGAGGATATTTTCCCCGATGACTGCTGTTGACATTTGCAGAATAGAAGTGAAGTCAGCTGCTTGTTTGTTCGAAGGTTTTAGTGCCTGTAACGGTTCTCAGCCAGCTGGGATCGCTCGGTGCCTGTAGCCCAGCAGGGACCTTCCCAGCTGCAGCATGGGGAAAATTGATCAAGCTGTGCTGGTGTTTAACTTTGTTTCTTAGACCAGGGGCATCAGTGAAACTAAAATGATCAATCTTGCTATACAATTTGGGGAAGCAAATGAGAAGGTATTCCGTTCTTCCTTGCTGCCCCCACAAAAAAAAGGAAATAATTAAGGAAACGTTCATATATATACACACAGGCTCAGGGAAGCTGTGATGTGGGAAAGGACTGATGGCTTTGTTTACTGAGGGCATCTTGCAGCTTTGGTTTTTCACTAATGGCAGCTACTGCAGAAGCAAGGCAAAATTTTAGTCTTCACCCCAAAACCTACAGGGGGCTGTGTGCGTGAAGGCTAATGTTTGTTCCTTCTGGTATTGCAGGCTCAAGGTAAGAGCGTCAGAATGATGTGATTGCTGGCGGTCCTGAAAAGTAGCTCCTCTCTGGCTGGATCCAGGCTCTGCATCTTATAGCAATGTAAATAACTTCTCTTTCCTAGAAGCGTGGTCATGGACTTGATTTTCACAAGACTGAGCAAACCCCACATTTTATTTCAGCAGGCTGGTGTGTGCTGGGACCTGAAAACATTACCACTGTGTGAAAGTGGATTGTGGGGGCACCTAATGGAAAGGGAGGGATTGAGGGGACAAAGAGAGTACGACTGAGCTGTGTTGTAAAGAACAGGAGCAGATACAGAACAAAGATGACACCAGTAATAAGCATGAGCTGAGAATGGGAAGAAGCGAGGAGAGATTTGAGAAAAGTACAATGTAAAATATGTAGCGGAAGTTACTGTAGAAAAGAAGAGGTGAAGCGGAACAAGGGAGAGAAGTGGGAGAAGGAGGAGGAAGTGATTGCTAAGTGCAGTTAATAGCAGCACCGAAGAGAGTTTTAATTGGAAACCTGTTATAATTAACCTCAGTTCTGCTCCCATGAATTTCAGGAATGCATGTAGCAGGTAGTTTTCCTTTTGGCTGTTGCGTTGCTGATGCAGAGTATGCTGGGTTTCAAGCCAAGCAGCAGATCGCATTTGTGTTTACCAGGCCCTGAGCAAACATGTTAATAATGTCATTTGTCATGGGGGATGGCACTACAAACTGATTTCAGATTTTTCTATAGCAGACGGGGAATGCACTCTGATTCTGCCCTGTCTAAAGCTGCTCATTTTAACTGTTCAAGCATGAGCTCTTGTCACCTGGCAGGAAGACATTGACCCTAATTGGTGCTGGAGGGAGACCTTGACCTCGTTGGAATGACCCGTGGAGGCTCCTTCTAAATCCCCTGGGGGACTTTCTAAGTAGGGAAGGGGCGAATCTGCAGCTTGTACATTCTTTATGTCTGGAAGGATGAAAAACAACCATGGAGGGTTCCTAAAATTCATTTGAACTTAGTTGTCCTTTACCTCTTTGTGGGATGCCAGTGCCACGTGCTGGAGAGCTGCTTTGAATGCTGGTGCTCCTTCAGAGGCTCTTCTGAGCAAGTCAGGCAGCTTTTTGCATGCTGGCGAGCAGGATTGCTGTGACTGAGATGTTATGGATGCGTCTTTCAAATCCCTTTGGCAATTAAGAAACAGAACAAGTGGAAACCAGTGGCTGCAATTTCAGTTAAAAACGACCACTTCCCACCACACAGAAAAACCTTCTGAATGTAGAAAGCATGGGAATTCGGAGGTCAATGAGGGTGTGTGTTAAAGCCAAGCCCTGAGCGGTGGGAGCTATGAAAGATCACGTAAAGGCAGGTGTACCATGGCTTTGTGTTTCTGGTGGAAGCACCTGGCTCTGTATCATCAAATCACAGAACGGTTTGGGTTGGAAGGGACCTTCACACACCAGCCAGTCCAACCCCCTGCCATGGGCAGGGACATCTTCCACTGGATCAGGTTGCTCAAAGCCCTGTCCAATCTGACCGTGAACACTCCCAGTGATGGGGCATCAAATAGGCACCTGGGCACCCTGTTCCAGCGTCTCACCACCCTCATCATAAAACGTTTCTTTCCCATGCCCAACCTAAATCTACCCTCGTTCAGTTTAAAACTGTTGTCCCTTGTCCTGTCATGACAGGCCCTGTTAAAAAGTCTCCGTCTTTCTTCCAAGCCCCTTTTGTATATTGAAAGGCTGCAGTAAGGTCTCCCCGGAGCCTTCTCTTCTCCAGGCCAAACAACCCCGACTCTCTCAGCCTTTCTCTGTAGAAAGCTTTGTTTTTATTCTGCAGTTTTGTTTAGCTTGTGAGCACTAAAACGGTAATGAATGGCTTTTACCCGTTGAAAGAGGCTTCCTTGACTATAGGCCATCCACTGATTTAGATCCCTTTGAAGGGAATGTGATAACAGACTCCCCTTGCTAGCTGTGTGCAAGAACTGCTTTCAAATCACTCAAGGACAGTGAATGATAGAGGGAGATCTGTGTGCATCCATTTTCTTCGTCCCAAATCGTGGGTGAGATTAGTGAACGAGCCTTTGAGGCCAGCCCTGTGGGTTTGTCTGAGCTATCATAGCAATTTCTTCTGCCTCTGTCCAGAACGTGTGGGTTGAGGATGAATACTTTGCAGAGGTCACTGCAGTTTAACTCGGTGTGCAGCTAGGTGTACAACAGATGTAAAAAATATCCAACAGTTGTCTGTCTCTTTTTTTTCACTTGTAGGTTTATTCTTCAGTCTAAAGGAGTGATTCATAACCAACTCTTAGAAAAACAGAGAATAGCTGAAGAGAAAATTAAGGAATTAGAGGTAAGTTTTTGGCAGGTAATGATGATGAAAGTAGAGCATTGAATGTCAACAAGATGCTGTTTGCTACATCCCTTGTTTTTATCTGGTACTTTTCATTCTGAAGGATTGTAACTAGGTGAAACATAGGGCCTGTTACAAGTAACCTATAAGTAATTCAAGTCACTTCGGTTCTTTGCTAGATCTACAATCCCAGTAGGGATTGATTGTGTGCTCTGTGTCCTGATACGAAAACTGGGGGTGAGGGATTCAAATGAGATTAGTAGGAGCAAGGTTTAAAACTAGCAGAAGGATGTTTGTGTGGTTATATGCAGCAGATAGATGATGTGAAACTTTGCCAGTGCAGTGGATATTGAAAGTTTATACTGGCTAAGGACAATTGCACAAATTCATGGAAGAGAAGTCCATTGAGAATTACCAAATATGTAGAAATGGCATCCTGCTCAGGAAGTCCCTGAGCTAAAAATGTCTGGAGGCTGGGAAAGTATGAGGAGGAAGTACCGTATACGCCTGCCCTGTCCTTACACTCTGCCCTGCGCATCTGCTTGTGGCTGCTGTTGAAGACTGGATCTAGGGGGAGATGGGACTTTGTTTTGATGATGTGGTCAGAGGATTTCTGTGTTCTTATGTTTATCTGGTTGGAGTATTCAAGGGAGGGAAGAATATCTAGGAAATATAAAGTAGTGTCTCCACAAGTTCCAGTGTTCAAACAAGTTATCTAGTGAATCTTGACTATCTTCTAGTGGCTACATGTACAGCTTACAGTTCTTCAGAGATGTTCAAAATGTACTGTTCCAAGGCTGTTAGTGTATTTTTTTTCTTAATGCCCCTAAAATATAATTAATACAAAACCCTGTTCCTTGTTTTTTGGGGAATGACAGAGAAAGCAAAGACTGAGTTGTATCGAGCTGCTTATCTCATCTGTTAGTGTTTTGGAGAAAGTGAGTGTGGAGACCAGCTAAGTAGGGACAAGCAGGAATAGGGAGTCAGTGCTCAAACCTACTCAAACCTGTGCAGTTCTGTCTCTGTTGTCTCCTACTTACACTAAAGCAGAAGTAGAGAGTGTATTTTTTTAATTCCTTCCTAAAACTCGGCTTGCCTGGGGAGCTGTAGGGCAAGCACATCATCATATGTCGTGTTGCCTGGAGTGTCTTCTGTGCCAGATACTAAGGGGTTTTGTGTTTCTGGCCACAAGAACTTTTTCTGCACAGGGAAAACAAGTACTCCATGGATAGGCTATATATTTAAGGGGGTGTTAATGCAGACAAGTCACAGTCATTTTTATGGTTATGTGATAAAAGTGATTGTATCCTGGCTACTCTGGAGCCATCCCAGATGCTGGTGGCTTTGCGCAAAGACAGCCCTGCGACTGGGGTTGGCGAACTTCATAGCAGCACGTCTGGATTTGGAAGCGATTGGAGTGTGGTTGACAGCCTCTGTTTACAAACTGCCCATTGGGTCCCTTACTGCCAGGTCCATCGGGCTGTGGTCAGTTTTTTGGCTACTGTGCCCTTCAGCTGTGCATCTCAATTTCTTCCTGTTCCTGGTGGGGAATGATCTTACCTCCTGAACTTTCCGATTGCTGAGTTCAGCAGAATGGATGGAATTCCCCCCAAATTATAACCTTTGCCATTCTTACACAAAGCCTCAGAGCTGGCTGCTTCGCAAATGTGTTTTTCTGCTTTGTAGCTCCCTGTTGCTTGAGTCTCTGGTTATGGCCACTGAATTGAAGTTCCCAGCAATAGTGACTGTCTCAAAAGGTGGTGGGAGTGGGTTTTTCTTTTTAACCATGGGGCTCAGATTGCCAAAACTTTCAACAGTTTGTTTTAAGTGAACATTCAAGTCCATCTTTTAACTACTCTGCTTCCAGCTGGCTGGCAGTTTTGTGAAAAGGATTTTCCTTAGGCTTGCCCATGGAAGAGGACAAGCTCTTAGACTGACAAGTGCTGGAAACTGAGATTTCGGGGGAAATACCTGAGTCCAAGTCAGAGAGCACTTATCACAGGAGTAGGGGATTTTGCTGTCCTGAAAACAAGTTGTGACAGAAGCAGGAAAGAATGTGAAACTTTGTGACCTTTTGCTTCCACTACACCATTGTAAAATAAATATCAAACCAAGATAGGTTAAAACTTCCCTCCATCTGTTGTTAAAACTGGAAGGATTTTAAAGCTTAGGTTTATATTTTACGTTGTTAACTACCTTATTACTTACTCACATTTCTCACTTTGCATGGTTGAATCAAGCTGGTCAGAGTAATCTTCCAGTATCCATACAGTGTGGCTCATCTGGTTACTCATGTAGTGTGAGCTTGAGACAATTATGCCTTGCTATTACGATGCTATTGCCAAGGTATTGTGAAATGTGTATTTTTGATACAAGCCTGAATTTGAGAAATGCTCTCACTGCTAGCTTGTTGCTGTTTGCAGAGGAGCACAGCACAGAAGGCTGGGTTCACTGCTGAGCTCATCTGTAAATCCATCCAGCTGCGTAGCAAGGAGAGCTCCTGAGTGCTGACTATTTGTGAAAATGTGGGCTTTAACCTGCTTCAGAGATGTGAGCTGTTTCCTGACATTCACAGCTGTCAGAGTGAACTTTCAAAATAGTGAGGGGTTTTGCGTCTGGTTTGAAAGCTGCTTTTCTCCCTCTGATAGTCTCCACTGCAATGCATGATTGCAGTTATTCCCTTTTCCTCACTCCCCTCTCTTGGGTTCCTCCACTGTTGAAGCGGTGCATTGCCTTTTTCAAGGCAGCATCACAAAATTGATGTGATACTGCTAGTTTGGTCCTCCCTGCTGCTCACTGCATGGCAAAGCAGCAAGGAGAACCAGACCTGTCTTTGTACAGGGCTGTGAAAATAAGGCTTGGCTGGAATACGCATTGGATGTACTTAGTGAGAGGAACTGCGTTCTGAAAACACCAAAGGGGTATGGATGTGTACGAGGGGGCAAATGCATAGCCTGTCAGTTACTCTGCAGAAAAAGCAAGGTAGCTTTACCCTTCTTGTTAAAGCTGAGGTATGAACGTGAATATGTATATGTACATATGTAGCATTCTTAACTTCACAACTTGTATATAATCCTTTGGAATCCAAATAGACTGCCCAGGCTTGTTGGCAAAATACACATGCCTGCTTAAAGGCTGTGCCAGTGAGGCTTACAAAAACCTGCTTGAATCTTGCAGAGATTGATGGCATAGGCTCACTCACATGCTGGCATGGGAAGCGTCCTGCTTAGCAGTAGCGATTGGATTTTTCCAGTCCTGATACTATCAAATTCTTGTTGTGTTTCACAGTACGAGGGGTATGTGTTAAATCTATTTTGAAAGCATTCTAAAGGGATGAGCACAGACTCTTTTTAGCTCAGCAATGTTTGTGCAGTATTAGGAGAAAAACCAAGTAATGTTTTTCTTCCCTTGTTTTTAAGGAAACATGATATGTGAGGGGTGGAACAATGCTTTGTTTCAGGAAATGTTATCCGTTTCCATTGTAGGGCTAGATGGATTCTGTTTTTAAATGTGGCATTTTAAAAAGAACAAACTATGATGTTATAAAGACATGGAAAATTGATTCTTCGTTAGGGGTGGAGAAAGTGAGTATCGCTGTGTGTTTTCTCTGATAATATCTGATAGTCCCCTTCTCTCCTGCTATATTCAGCATGTTTAGTTGTCAGGCGTTGTCAGACTAAATTGCTAAAAATAACAAATAAGGGGGAGGCTCTGCTGGGCAGCTCTGTCTACTGTGTGCCACTGAATTTAGCTCCTTCGTGAAAAGGGCAAAGCAACCTGCAACTTTCTGGTTGAAGTGGAGTTTGGTTTTAAACTCTGACCACAACATTGTTGTGTGCTTGTTTCCCAGGCAATTCTTTCACATGTGTATGGGAGACTGAAAGTTTACTGCTGCAGAGATAAAGGGTTGGTTGTTTTCTTTTCTGTCTGCCTGGAGTAGAAAATACAATCGGGAAAGCTATACCTAAGTGCTTGATTTCTAATTCAGAAATTCTTCATGTGATCCCTAAAATGCCATGTGCAATTGCCCTATCCCACACAGAAAACTTCTTTGCTCTCGTTCATGGTGGAGAAGCAAACACTCTGCTCTCAAACACTGCTGTGCTCCACGTTTAAAGGCTTAGATGGTGTTGCAGGGCTCCTTCCTGGTGAAGTTAAAAAGTGACTGCATTGCAATGCCTTATGGTGACCAGACGTCAGAGGTAACAACAGACTTCTTCCCTGGTGCTGCTGGGATGCAAACTTGCTCATGCTGTGGCTTCCATTTCTCTAATCTTTCTCTAGGAGCTTTAAAATGGCTTTGCTGCAGCCCTGAGGCGTAATGGTGGTGCCCCTCTTCTCCATGAGTCGATCAGGGCATCTATGATGGTTGTCACAACAGTGTTTTCGCACCCTGTGGGAACAAAGATTTAAGTAGGTGAGGTGTGGCTGGGGAGAAGTGCTGGAGCCTGGGAGTTCATGTTCTCTGAGCAGGTATGGCTCGGTTGGACCTGCTCGGTGTGGCCGTGCACCTCTGACGTGCTCCTGCAGCAGCTCTCTGGACGGCCCTTCGGTTTTTACGCTGAAACCGTCAGCGTGGAGACCAACTCTGAGGGTGGCTTTAACGATGTGAAAACAAGTCTCTTGAGATTTGTGGTGCACTTTGCAGACCACTAAGCGGCCATCAGAAGGTAGCAATTGTTAGCCTGTTCCCAAGTTAGACCAATATCTTCCTGGGATTTACAGTGTAGAAGCTCTCATCCCATGGTTGGCTCGGGATAGGCCAGTGCCCAGGAATGTGTGGTGGGCTTTTTAAGTAAACAGGGCAAAATAAGGAACGCTCCTGTTTGCTTTGGAGAGGGGAAGCCTCAAGAATAGCCCTCTGTGCTTTAGCCTGGAGCAGATTTTACTTTGGGTGAGTGTGCTGTTCTCTCATTCCATTGCTGGCATACACGCACGTACCGAGGACATGATTTTAAACACATGTTGTCACAGAAGCTGCCCCTTGTTTCTAAGCGTGT